CTTAGCCATCGCAGCATCTTGATTTGTGAAAATAGTTTTTGGAGCTTTGTTTGACATTGCCTCCAAAAAAATCTGAAACAACCATGTGAATGATTCGGCAGTCTCATCATACATCAACACTGCACCGAATATAACCGTTTCTCGATGATAATTAAATCCAACAAAGGTTCCAAAAGGTCTATGCTCATTATTTATTTTGTAAGTAGTGTCAAAGGTCACTACATCACCAAATTGAGCATAGTCCATTATCATTTGAGCATCAGCCCAAAATATATTAGTTATCTGCTCTTCACAATCTAATTGGACTGCATAATAAAAGGATGGATTTTCCATAGTTTTCTTACGAAAGTATTGCAACACACTACCCGTTTCTCCATATTCCAAATCCTTTTGTCTCTTCGATCTTAAATAATTTTTTTGGTCTAATTTGGTGAAGCCAAGTGATGCTCTTCCACCACATTCCCTACCCAATAGCTCATAAGCAGACCTAAGAGGAATTCCAGATTCTGAAGCCAATTCTACTTCAATTGCTTGGGTGGTAGATATTTTTCTTTGGGATGGCAACATATGAACACACTCTTGACGCACAAGGTCATGATTATGATGTTCAACAAAATCAATTACAACATATTTCCCTAAATTTCTATCTAACTTTATACTCAATCGGGCACCACAACCACATCGCACCTCTTGTCTCGGAAATTTTACTAGTGGATCTCGCTTGTCAATACCCGGAGTTCCCTCTTTATAACATACAAAAGTCCGTGAAGTTATTTCCTTAGTTTGTTTGTTCTTGTGTGCATACGACTTCATAATACTAAAGCCCATCTTTCCGCCATAGTTATTGTAAAAGTCATACGCAGCTTGTTCAGAGTCAAATGGCATGCCCAATTTTGGCTTCCAACCACAACTACCCAACTCATCAACAACATTATTTTCTTCCATTACTTACAATTGAGTACCATACAAATAATAAAATAAGCCGATTCCCAAAAACTACTGAGTTATTTATATAACATTTTCCTATACGTATAATATACCAGTGGAACTGATGAATGATATGAATAATTATATATATATATGCTTCAGCTCTGTTTTACTTTACTTTTTCTTTTTCTTTTTTCTTTTTTTTTTATTCGGTGGAGATTGGTTCTGTCATGCCTAACCAAGGCTACCCATTTATCTTATTACCTTTTTTTTTTTCCGATTGTTATCTTTTGTAATGTTTGGTACTGGAAAACACACGATAAAGCTTTTCCAATCTTCCATGTCTAGCTTTTGCCCAAGTCAAAAGATTACTGTATTTTTAGTGGTGAAATTTTCAGCAAGATGATTCAAAAAACACTTCCAAGACCAATTTAGCAAGATGAAGCACAAGTCATATTTCTGTTATCTGGAATTCCTGGAATATTTGTGTTATCTGGAATTCCTGGGACGCATAGAGGGAGAGAGAGGGGGTTTGGAATTCCAGATAACACCAATTCCATTCTTTTGTAATGTTTGGTAGTGGAATATACCTTTTGCCCAAGTCATACAAACACATAACACAAATATTAAATCAAAGTTGGAATACACCATCACTGGGTCAAAAAATGAAGAACATAAAAAGTTGAAAAAATAACTGAACATAATTGAAAAATTAACTGAAAAAATTAACAGAATTGAAAAAATAACTGAAAAAATATTTGGGTCACCATCACAAATATTAAGATGAAAGCCACATAAAATTGAAGAACATAACAACAAAAAATGAATTTTTTTTTTTTTGTTGAAAAACCCAGAATTGATACTTGATATTATGAGCAGATAACTGAACAGAACACAACATCACTTGGGCATTTATATTTTTCTATAATCTTTTTTGACTTCTAGAAACATTTATAAAAAATTTCAGACAGATAGTCAGATATATATATATGTATATATCAGCTACAATAATCTGAAAAATATTAGCTACAGATATTCACTTATTTTACCTCCTCATGGCCGCAATCTCGCCTCGCCGTTGCGTCGCGTCCCTTCGCCATGGCAGTCTCCTCCCTTCGCCATCCTTTGTCCTTCGCCATGGCAGTCTCCTCCCTCTGCTCCTCCCTCCGCCATCCTTCGTCCTTCACCGTCGCGCCCCTCCATCATCTTTCGTTCGCCGTCGCCGTTGCCGTCGCGCCCCTCCACCGTCACGCCCCTCTACCATCCTTCGTTCACTGTCGCCGTCGCGCCCCTGCACCATCTCTCTCATCTCTCAGCTCTCTCTCTCTCTCTCTTCGTCTACCGTCTCTGTCTTAGGGCTAAACAAAACAAAACACAGCGTTGAGTAGAGGAACATGATAAACAAGCGGGAATTTCAACTTTTGGGGAAAAATTAAAAAAAAAAAACAACTAACCAATTTTGGCAAGGACGGCAGAGAGGGTCGCAGGAAAGGGCTACCGAAGATCCAAATTCGAGACATGTAACTGTTCCACACACTAATTTCCGTACTCTAAATTATTATTATTCGGCCCAGCATTAATGTTTTTTTAAAGGGAGAGTTTCTTCCCAATTCATAAAAGTGGATTGAAGAGAACTGTTGGGCTTGCAAGATCCACGCGTGTCTCATTTTGATAATTTGAATCATTTAATATGTAGAGTTCGTTAAGTATTTCATCTCTACAAAACATTACATTAATCGGATATGAATAGTCTTTCAACCAGGTCATATTTTTTTCAATAATAAATAAAATTTTAAAATTAAATTGTTAACGAAAATATATTCTGATCAAATACCTATCAATGTCTTATCAATATAATTTTTTTTTTAAAATGAAATACTTGACTAACTCTATATATTAACGGTTCAAATGATTAAAACGAGGCATGTGATAAACTCCACCAACTGTGTTTGGTAACGTTTACGTTTTCAGTTTATATTTAAAAAAAATTTATAAACTGATTTTTGTTTAGAAAAACATAAACTACAAACGCGTTTGGTAATTGACAAAATGTTTAAAAAAATTTAAAAATATAAAAAAGAGTGAGAAATGGCAAGTGGCGACTGAAGACGATGGTAGAAAGTGGTGACGGTGGGTGGGTGACGGTGGCGGGTGGTGGGTGGTAGCGAGTGGGTGGTGGCGGCGGTAGTGGTGGGGGGTAGGTGGTGGTGGCAAGTGGGTGGCGAATGACGGGTGGTGGCGGGTGGTAGGTGGTAGCGAGTGGGTGGTGGTGATGGGGGGGGTGGGGGGGGGGGGGTGATAGGGGGGGTGGCCGGCCCTT